ACCGGCTTACGTCACTTCTTAGTACATACTCTCGGTGCGAATGCAACCCTTTAAATGGTACTGGGAAATAGTTCGCGCAAAATCGTCCCAGTACTTTAGTACCGTACATTTAGTTCTGGAACTAAAGTGGTGCGAAAGGGCCTTATTATGCTCAGATAACGATTAACTCTTTAACTCTTAACCTGAACAGTTTATGTTGCTGTATATGGTATCATTGTAATCCTTGACCATCAAAACATAGATCACATTTTCATATCGTATTATGACACAAAATACATAATTTGGTTATGGAGGAAAGTAAAATGGTCGCTGCCACAACACCTTGGTGTTTTTGCGATGGCTCCATTTCTGAAAATGTTTAGGGCCGCAAACTATACAAGTGTACCAAGTTTCATGCTTTAATGACAAAGTGAACATTTTCACATATCACCTGGACCAATATATATGGGTCAAAGACATTTAAGAAATTTACAAAAGTGATTTTATGTCCATAGAAAGCACATTAAATGTAAGTAAAGTGTCTACTTTTAAGGTTTCAAATAAGTTTTTGGAGAACAATGTCAAAATTTGGTTGAAATAATATTACATTGTAATTCAGTGTAACAATATTTATGTAAAAATTCAAACATGCTTATTCTGACATGTACATATTAAAATATATAAAAGAATAAGGGAGCATATTAAATTTGATTGTGTTTTAAATGAGTAAAAAATACTGACAAATGGGCAAAACCTAGGATTAGGGCTGCCCTCGACTAAGGATTTTTCTGGTCGACTAGTAGTCGTTCATTTTAAGCATTAGTCGACTAATCGCACGTTTATTAATAAACCATTTAAATCATTATGAGCCTTTAATTAATAGGCCTGTCGCAATAATCAATATATCGACTTATCGCGCAATATATAAGAATAAGGGAGCATATTAAATTTGATTGTGTTTTAAATGAGTAAAAAATACTGACAAATGGGCAAAACCTAGGATTATGGCTGCCCTCGACTAAGTATTTTTCTGGTCGACTAGTAGTCGTTCATTTTAAGCATTAGTCGACTAATCGCACGTTTATTAATAAAACATTTAAATCATTATGAGCCTTTAATTGCCTATATATAGGCCTGTTGCAATAATCAATATATCGACTTATCGCGCGATATATGTACATGACCTCAATTTATGGTGATGCAATATATTGCCCATTATATTTACTTAAAAATTAATGTCCCCATGTTTTTTTACATTCCACTTGCACCTGTGTCTTTTGCAGGTTCTCATACATAATGTGGTGTAGTCGGTGCTAGTTCAAATAAAAAAAATGCTTAAAAATATATCGAAAATGAGCCTTTAATTAATAGGCCTGTCGCAATAATCAATATATCGACTTATCGCGCAATATATGTACACAACCTCAATTTATGGTGATGCAATATATTGCCCATTATATTTACTTAAAAATTAATGTCCCCATGTTTTTTGGCATTCCACTTGCACCTGTGTCTTTTGCAGCTTCTCATACATAATGTGGTGTAGTCGGTGCTAGTTCAAATAAAAAAAATGCTTCTACAAACAAAGTTTCATCTGCAGATATGGCCTTGTTTAGGGATCTGTGCCTTTGTGCATACGGACATCTGACTGCTAAGTAGTGATTGTGTTTTTCAGCAATAGTGTGCACCCTTAATTCACACAGAAAAGAAGGTCAGGAAAAATCTCCATACAAGTTATTTTTGCAGTTTTCTTTTTTCTACTTGTTTGCATTTTTTGTTAGAAAATATTTATTTACTATTTATTCAGGTTTTTTAAGGCATCTAATATTTTGATACTTAATTTCCTTAATTCTTAAAAATTAAAAGTTTGTTGTCATTTGGAAATGTGTAGGCCTTCTTGCATTATTATGCTGTTACATTATGATTATATATTCAGTGGCATAAAATGGTCTTTAAAATGACAATAATATAGCTTATCGCAATTATTTCTGGGGCAATATATCGCACAACAAAAAGTTGTTATCGTGACAGGCCTACCTACATAGCCTAATAAGCGCTCAAGCACACGCATAAAGCTTGCCACAGCGCACCGGCAGAAGCTAGGAGTATGAATGTGTCAGGGAAAAACAGTAAGGAGGCTACATTAACATTTTAATAATTCACTGTTAAACAAGTGCTTTCTTTGTTTCGGTTTAAGAGATGAACTCGGCGACACCGACTCGTCGTCTCCGCAGTAGTGATGCGCCTGTGTGCATGTTTGCATAAAACCATGAGGAGTAAAACAAACAAAATGTCAGCAGAGTAGTGATTGTGTTTTTCAGCAATAGTGTGCACCCTTAATTCACACAGAAAAGAAGGTCAGGGAAAAATCTCCATACAAGTTATTTTTGCAGTTTTCTTTTTTCTACTTGTTTGCATTTTTTGTTAGAAAATATTTATTTACTATTTATTCAGGTTTTTTAAGGCATCTAATATTTTGATACTTAATTTCCTTAATTCTTAAAAATTAAAAGTTTGTTGTCATTTGGAAATGTGTAGGCCTTCTTGCATTATTATGCTGTTACATTATGATTATATATTCAGTGGCATAAAATGGTCTTTAAAATGACAATAATATAGCTTATCGCAATTATTTCTGGGGCAATATATCGCACAACAAAAAGTTGTTATCATGACAGGCCTAGTCTAATAAGCGCTCAAGCACACGCATAAAGCTTGCCACAGCGCACCGGCAGAAGCTAGGAGTATGAATGTGTCAGGGAAAAACAGTAAGGAGGCTACATTAACATTTTAATAATTCACTGTTAAACAAGTGCTTTCTTTGTTTCGGTTTAAGAGATGAACTCGGCGACACCGACTCGTCGTCTCCGCAGTAGTGATGCGCCTGTGTGCATGTTTGCATAAAACCATGAGGAGTAAAACAAACAAAATGTCAGCAGCTGGAATGTGAAAAGATCGTTCCACACGTGCTTGAGATCTTTGCAAATAAGTATATCAGATGCAGATGTATTTTGCTGCTGTGTAAAATGATGAAACGCATCATGACACTCGAAAAATCGCCTACTAAACAATAAACGTCTGTGAGGAATTCAAATCAAGCTTCGTGTGCATCTTACCTCATACACGGTGTTTTGTATTGGACATTAATCCTGTATGGAGTCCTTTGGCTTCCTGGTCTTTCTCGTGTATTGCAGAAGGAACACAGATGCATGTGATTAGCACGCAGCACGAGCGCTGCATTCAGACGAAAACATCCATGTGCTGGTTACTGCAAGATCTATAGTCTATACTGTCTTCCCGAGTTCAATGGTACAGAATAAAGACATGTCCGTATTATTGTAATGGATCAGTACAGCAGTCCTCACGTCCAGTGCATGCGCCCTCTGGTGATGATGCACATGCACACAATCATGCAGATGTTGCAACCAAACGGAATCATATCTGAATAACATTTTGTTATACTCCCCGAATGTTCGATGAGGGAATTTGTGAATATGCATGCGACAATATTTCAATCAAAAACTTAAACTTTGAAATCAACACCGTCATGGGCTATTTTTTCATGTAACCTGGGGCGTTGAATATTGGATTCCATTACACACACCTGTAAGCTGAATAAGGCGCAAATGAAACATATAGGCTATGCATACAAATAACTACTTGATGATAATCGTTTGTTGAGGAATGTATCAGCATGCGAAAGCAACAGATTGCATGTTCATAATACAGAGCGCAAACCTATGCAAATGCACCTGGAGTTTACTTTCAGACAACGCGTGTCACTATCAGAAACGAGACTAAAATGCATCTGGTATAGAAATACCAGCTGCTAACTAATAATTAATAACATTAAAGAGGTCATATGATGTTGCTAAAAAGAACAGTATTTGGTGTAATGAAATGTGTTTGTGGTTTAAGGTTCAAAAAACACATTATTTTCCACATACTGTACATTATTGTTTCTCCTCTATGCCCCGCCTTTCTGAAACGCGTCGATTTTTACAAAGCTCATCGGTCTGAAAAGCGAGGTGTGCTGTGATTGGCCAGCTATCCAGTGCGTTGTGATTGGCCGAATAACTCAAGCGTGTGACGGAAATGTTTCACCCCCTCACCATACTGTGATGCTGTGTCCGGCCGGAGCAACCAGACAAAAACATTAAAACCCATTATAAACGAGGCATTTGTTGCATCCAGTGGGGACATAATTACTGATTATAATGACTTATACTGTCTTTTTATGCATTGCGTTGCATTGCATCGCGCAGCGTAAACAAAAAACTATGTCTGCTTTTGTGATTAGAGAAATGACAAACAACAAGCACTACTCTACACTGCCCAAAACTCGTGTTTGAATCGTCAGTGGCACATTCTTTAAATATGAAAACGTACTTACAGTCTGTGAGTCAAAACAGACGGCATTGTAGTCTACTCTCCCAGGATCAGGAAA